GTTGAGAACCCCTAAATAAGAGGCATTAGGGCCAGAGGAATTTCTATTTCATAGATACCTTTATCTCTGGTGACAAAAGGCGTATCTCATGGAAAACCGGAAGGCCAACGGGACCCTGCCATAGGACTGGGAAGCAGAGGAGGCTAGCAGTGGAGGCCTTCAAGGAAAGGCCTCTGTCTTGGCAGGAAATGAAGTGGATTGTCACCTCCTCTCAATGGGGACAGGAAGCAGAACCCAGGCCAGCCCCTGTGTCCCCTGCTGGGCTCTCATAGTGACCTCTACCTCCACTCCCAAGCCTTTCTAGTATTCAGAAGGTGCTCAGTAAGTGCTCTTTTCTGCTCCCAGAGTGTTAGCATTGCCACTTGTGTATCCCAGTTCCTTCTCACCTGCAAGCATTTATTAAACATCGCTGATAGTCTAGCACTATCAACATGTATGACCATAGCCATTTCCTGAGCACTGGATGAGGAAGAAACAGTGTCAGAACCTCCCACTTACCAGCTACGAGCCTCGGCCTCTGTGCTCTGATCGACTCCCCGGTAACAGAAGGTTCTGACAGTGCTTTTCTTTGGGGGTCACTGAAAGGCCTGCATAAATTAATCTATACCACACATTTCCTGAGCACACAAAGCAAGTACTTAGCAAATATTAGCTATTACGATTTTTTTTTTCTTAGAGAAACTGAGTAAGTGGCCTGGGGTTGCCACAGGGTTCCACTGCCTGTCTGGGAAGCTTGATGCCAGGTATTGTCCAGTGTGTGGAAAGGCTGGGTGCTCGCTTATCTGTGGAGAATGGCCCCACCGGGCCTCCGGGCAGCTTGGCACTGCGTGGGCCGCAAGCGGTGACTTAGGCAGCTGGATTTCAGCACTTGGGATCCAGGCTGCCGTTAACCTGGCCCAGTGCAGGGGAATTGGGCGCCTCAGGCTGTCCAAAGATAGAAAAAAATGAAGATGGCTGGATACTGTGGACAGGGATAGGGAGGGGCATTTGCAGGGAGAAGGAGGGTTCTGGGACCTTGAAGGGTCCAGTGAGGGAGACTGGACTGAGAAGCCCAGGGAGCCATCATGGCACCGTTGGGTCTGACGACCACCTATTATGGGGAATGGGGTCGTGTGTTTACATTAGTGCTGTGTCGGAGAGCATCTGCTGCTTCAGTTACCCTGGAGCTCTGGTGGGCACGGAGTGTCTGTAGCTTGCCCCAGGGCCTGGCTGGGGACGCAATCGGGAAGCCGGAAGGGTGAAAGGGAGGGTGGGCCTAGGATTCTGGCTCCGCCTCTGCCAAGGTCTCTTGAATGGAGAAGGCAGAAGGCAAGTGGTGGACACAAGGCTGGGAGCTACACTGACTTAGACCCAGCTCCATCCCAGCTCCGCGTTCTGGGTGCGGTCTGACCTCTCTGCTTCCAGGCACAGTGAAGATAGCTACAGCTAGCCCTTTCTGCTGCCCTGAGAAGGATGTAGGATGTGGGCGGGTGAGCACAGAGCCGTCAGCGTTAGTTACCACTGCCGTGGCCTTCTCGCCTGGCAGGTATTCTGGGTATCCATCCCAGTTACTCCAGCACCCAGTTCTCCCAGCTCAGATCTTACACCTGGCTGTTACTCAGATACTTCAGAGGCATAAAGATGGCTCCTTTGGTGACATGACACTCTTGCAGAGGTGAGGTGATCTCACTAGGAGGTTCAGACAGGAAAAGCAAGAGGGAAGGAATGAGAAACATAGAAAAAGTGTCTGCTGGGGAGACTGAGAGTCCTGCCTCTGTGGGCACCTGCCTTCAAGGTATTGCTGGTGTCCTGCCCAGCTCCTCTAGAAAAGTGGGGACAAGGTAACTCAGGAGTTGTAGTCAATGGGTGGATAGAATTTAAGAACTGACTGGAAGTCCAGAAGCTGGGTATGGTGGTACACACCTTTAATTCCAGCTCTCAGGAGGCAGAGGCAAGATCTCTGAGTTCTCAGACAGCCTGGTCTGCAGAGAGAAACCTTGTCTCACGCCCTGCCACCAAAAAAGAACTGACTAGACTGTAGGGCTGCAGTTTCCATCTGTGAAATGGGGACACAGTAACTAGGATTCTTGGCAAACTTGCATTTATTAATGCAATTTATTAAGGCTCAAATCGTAGCCATGACAGTCATCACCCTGGGCAGGATGGTTGCAAAGTCATAGGCTTTGGGATCCATTTTCCCTCATCAGTGAAAACAAAGAAGTTCCAGTTTGGCCCTTGCAACCTGTCTCTCCGCACCACCCTCTGCCTCAGCTGAAGGAGCTGCGAGGTTTCCCCCACTGGCCTTGGGGCTGTGCTCACAGGTCCCACATCCAACCGCGTTGGGTTGGACTTAGCTGAGCAAAGCGGCTGGGTAGTTCCCTGACCCCTTCCCACAAACCCCAGAGCAAAAACAACCCTAGAGGCAGCTGAGTCACAGGAGCCTCCTCCCGGATCCTGCTGGGGCTCTGTTCTTGGGATTTTACTGCATATTCTAAAAAAACAAACTAACTTTGTTTCTTTTTGCATCAAATATGGAAAGGACTTATCCACTCTCTCAGTGTCACACACGTTCAAACACAGATATCTCCTTTCCCTCCCACCGACTCCACCACCTCCCATCTCCACCAATCCATCACCTACACCACTTCCATCACTCAACCAATTCCATCATCTCCACCACTTTTATTACTGTCATCAACCCCACCACCTCCATCAACCCCATCACTCAGACTGTCTCCATCGCCTTGACCACCTCCACCATCTCCATCAACCCCATCACTCAGACTGTCTCCATCGCCTTGACCACCTCCACCATCTCCATCAACCCCATCGCCCATATTGCCTCCATCACCTCGATCAAATCTACCACCTCTATCACATATACCCTCTCCATCACCCCAACCAACTCTACCATCCACCATTTCTGTCATCGCCACCATCTCTGTTACTTTAGTTACCACCTCTGCCCGTGTCTACCGCATGGTCTACTACTATTGCCTGTATCACTACCAACTCCATCACTTGACCAAATATCTCTATCATCATCCGGAAAAACACACACAAAAACATCTCTACCCTATATGCTATCTCCATCATTACAACCTTTTCTGTCACCTCGACCATTTTACTGCCTCAACTCTGCAACTCCCACCACCTTTATCGCCTGCTCCTCACTGCCTCTGCCATCATCAACTCCTTCACTTCTTGCCTGCTGACCTCCTCCTCATTGACTCTGCCACATACACTGAAGACAAGTCATCGATCTTCACCGAGATGTCCACAAGTGCTCCTTCTCTACCTGTAGCAGCATCACCACTGTCACTGTCTACTTCACTGCCACATTCTCCACAGCGATTTTATTCACTTTTAACACCATCTCCACCACCTCCATCACCACCATCATCACCTCCACCATCACCACCACCATCACCTTCACTGCCACTATCATCACCTCCACCACCATCACCTCCACTGCCACCATCATCCCCCATCACCTCCATAATCCACCATCATCACCTCCAACACCGCCATCATCACCTCCATCACCACCATCATCACCTCTGTCACCAGCTAACCACCATGCATCGATCCAAGTCTACTAAGAACTTGACTTAGGACTGTTTGGTGGTGTGCACACCTTTAAGCCCAGCCCTCAGGAAGCAGAGACAGGCAGATCTCAGTGAGTTTGAGGCCAGCCTCAAACAAAGAGAGTTCCAGGACAGCAAGGCTACACAGAGAACTTCTGACTTGAAAAACAAAAACAAAAGCAAAGACAAACAAAAGAACTTGTCTTAATAACAAAATCCAGTCAGATATTTTCTTTGCTTAAAAATAAATTATCTATTTAGTGTTAGCATGTGGGAGCAGGGGCATACAAATGAGCTATGGTGTACTTGTGGTGGCCAGAAGATAACTTTTGGAATCTGCTCTATCCTTCCACCTTTACATGGGCTCCAGGAATTGAACTCGTGATACGAGGCTGACACAGCAAGCTCCTTATCCACTGAGCCATCTGGCTGACCCCAGCTATAAATTTTCTATTCCAGAGTCATAAGTGTTTCTCTCCAAAAGGCTGGAGGCTTAGGAGTCTGGTGTGGTGGTTCTGGGATGGAAAGGTCATTTGAAAGATTCAAATTTAGTTCTTAATTTTATGACCAGGAACACTGAGGCCTATTCTATGCCAAGCCCACACACTTACTGGTTGGTCCTCTCCAACATGCCATGCCTCTTTATGCCTCCAGGTCTGCCCAGGTTATTTCCTTCACCTCTGGTGTGGTTGACCCCTCTCACTGGGGGCCTCTTCTGAGCTCCAGTCTGAAGAAGCAGGACTGCGTTTGTCAGGGTAAACAGTCAAATAGGGTTCCCTAAGGGCAAACAAAGGCAGCTACTATCTCCGTGGCCATCAATGGGCCATACTGAGAAGATACTGGGCCCCTGTAGAGCGTGAGTCAAGCCTCCTTAGCGACCAGATATCCTTTTCTAGACACCTCGAAGAGGTGATGGTGAGCTAGACAGCCATACTCAACACCCGTGGTTTTGACTTCAGCTTCCTCAGAAAGTCCTGGCAGTTGCTCTGATTCTGTGAGTCTGCCGAGGGGCCCAGAAATGCGCATTTCACACGCTCCCCATGGGCTCTGGCTGTGGAGAGCCTAAGCAGACCTTCCATGCCATGGTGTTTGCTGGTTTAATTTGTCTTAAGTCCCCAACGACCGCCCTATCTGAGCTCCATGAGGACAAGAACTTGTGGCTATCATGTTCAGCACACTGCCTAGCCTAAACTGAATTAACATCTAAATCTGAAAATAAAGGTATATATGGCCTCTGACCCCAAGCCTTGTACAGCTCCTTAGGTCTCCTTAATCATAGCCCCGGCTCCTTTAAGTGTGCGTGGAGACGCCGGGACCCTCGGTCTCTGACAGCACTGAAGAAAAAAAAAAAAAAAAGGAAAAAAAAAAAGCCTTCCTCTCGGGAGCGGGAGGAAACATCTAGGAGGGGGAGGAGGCGCGGCCAGAGCCTGGAGCCCCGAGCTCGAGCGGACGCCCCGCCCCGCCCAAGCCCCGCGCCCAGCGCCCCTCGCCTTGCAGCGGAGTGCTGTGCCCGGGGCGGGCCGGGCCGGGGCGGGCTCGGGTGCGGTGGACCGGGCGGCAGTGGGACTTCGACAGACGGACCCGCGCGGCACGCAGCGACCAGCCTCGGGCTCCACGGTGGAAGATGCACAGAGCAGGTAAGAACCCGCGCCACCTTCCGCACCGGCGGCAGGCTGCTCAAGTGGAGCCTGTGGAACCGGGGGTCCCTTCTCCAGGAGCCCAAGAGTTGGGATGTCCTGACCCAGGCACTCCGCCGGTTCCCCCGAGGAAGATCCCCTCGGAAACAGAGGACACCCCTCCCTCCAAAATGACCTAGTCGTAACCCCCCCCCCCCCCCCCCCCCCCCCCCCCCCCCCCCCCCCCCCCCCCCCCCCCCCCCCCCCCCCCAGTCCCTCCTCTCTCCCCTCTGGGTCCCAGCAGGTCCTCGCTCGCCCTTTGGTGGCCGCGCCTTGCCCCGGGGCGCATCCGCTACGCTTCCCCGACGCCAGAATCTGTTCTGGTACTCTAGGGCTCGACACACCCAACTCGGCCGTCAGACGCCGGGAGCTCTGTGGCTGAGCTAGGAAGTCTGAACTGTTTGCTTAGGCTCACCCCTCTTAAAACTCCCTGCCGGAGCTCCACTGCCGGACCGAGGCGGGGATCGAGGGGTTAGCCCCTCCAGGCTCATCAGCGGCCCTCGCACCCTACCCCTCTCGCGTACCATTCTGTGACTCAGACTTCACCGGGTCAGCGAAACCCAAAAGTGTTCTCAAAGAAATTTAGCGATCTCTGCCGAGGAGTACCATTTAGCAGATTGGGAAAGTGAGCCACAGCCAGATGGGCGGTGCCTGGAAGCTGGATTCCCAGCTGCGCCCGTGCCTGGGGAAGCTAGAAAGTTCCCAAAGCTGGAGTCTGCTAGTGTCTAATCCTAGCTAATGAGACCCACCTGCTCCGGGATGTCTGCCCTGCTTCTTTTACTGCTACCATTGCACACAAGGGAAGCCCCTTCCCCACCCAGCACCCTGCCCAATGCCACACTCCCAACACACATTCCCAAAGAAACAGGAAGCCACCATTTTGGCTGTCTTGGAATCATATCCTGCTGCTGCTGCTGCTGCTTGTGGTGGTGGTGGTGAGGCTTTTTTCTTTTTAAGATTGTCTTACTAGAAACAGTCATTGTCTTGGGAGTAAGGTGCGGCTAGAGACACTGGACTGGTCTTACAACAGACCGAGGAGTGGAGCCGCCACCTCCCTGTGTCCAGGATTCAGTGTTGCTGGGGGTAATTAACGTGGGACACAGAACTGGGGGCCATGAGCAGGAGTGTCACTTTATGGGTGTGAAGAGCACTGGAACAGGGTCCCCAGGGTCTGGTCGCTCACTGTTGTCTGGGGAATGTTGCCCTCTGTGGTGCTGGCACGGTCTGGACAGAGATAGGCTGGCTTTCCCTGCCCTCCTAACAAAACTGCTTTGTAACAATGGAGAGAGCCAACCCAGCTTCCCCACATTTTCCTGCAGGAGGCCGGAGCAGGCCCTCCTTCTCTGGGAGTCTGGAAGATGGGGGCAGTCCTAACAAATTGAGAGGTAGGTTTGCTCCCAGAAAGCCTTTGCGGTGGACACCTTTAGCTGTCCTGTAATTTGTTTCTGTAGACCAGATTCTTTATTCAGTGCGGCAACCTCACACTGACTGACTGGTGGATGCCATGCCCGCCCCCTTCTCCAGGGCTCCCTGAGGCTGGATCTCAAAGCCACCACCTGCTTGTGTGACCCTGAGCAGGTTCCTCAGTTTATCTCTCTGACAAGTCAGAATCTATCTCTGATTTGTCACTAGACCAGAACAGGGGCCATCCTACGCAACCAATGAATACCAACTCATGTTTCTCAGGAACTTAAAATGAATTAGTTACCACTAGGATATGCTTTTCCCATCAGTTTAGTTAGTATCCACAGCAACCTGATGATGGACAGTCGAGGAGTACTGACCTGTTCAGGGACCAAGACAGGCCAAGATGGGCCATTCAGTTTCAGACAACCCCCCACCCCGCGCATCCTTTTTTTTTTTTTTTTTCATCCAGGCCTAACTTGTTGGGGATGTTTGCCTCTTGACTTTGTTGAGTGATTTTTGTCTGTTAGCTTCCTTGAACTTTCAATGGTTCCATGAAAAGCTGGATAGTTCTTCCTTTCCCCCAAAAGGAAGCTTCCAGAAGCAAAGATATGTGAACGAGATCACACAGCTGTATGTGGAAGGGCTTGGACCAGACCCCAGGCCTCTCCCTACTCCGTCTCCCACGATCTCCTTGGGAAGTGCCCTGTTGTGGATCACTGGACAAGCTTAACAGCATCCTAATTAGAAACCAGCAGGCTTAGCTTGGACTTTCCAGCAGGCACCTAGGAATGGATGTTAAATTAAGATGCATTGCGAGGTGAAATTGGAAGATAATTGCTCTTGCAACATATGGTCCTGAGTGTTCCGGGGTCAGTGGAGGGAACGGCAGGTGAAACAGACTTGGGGACAGGAGTCAGAGTGTCAAAAGATGCTGCAAGAAGCTCCCTGAGTTGGAAGAGCTAGGGAAATTAACTCTTTGGTCCAGTCCCTTCCCTCTACAGGTGGAGAAACTGAGGCATGGGAAGGGGGGGGGGCTTGGCCAAGGTGACACCTCCAGTTAGTGGCTTAGCCAGGAAGGGAGCTCCCTGTCCAGGGCTCCTTCCCAGACTTCATCTAGCCTGACTCGTGCATGGCTGGGAGGGAGCAGGAGGCATGAATGTGTGAGTGACAGATATTTAATTAAAATAGAGAAAGTAGCAGCGAGTACCAACAGCGGGTGATTTGTATCATCAGGCACTATTGAAATATTCTTTCTTCCTATGCCTGTCCCTTAGTGAGCAGTCTGCCTAAAGGGGTACTCTGCATTCACACCATCCCCAGGGGTGGCAAATTACCAGGAGTCATGGCTTCAGCGACTTGGCTAGGGCACACTGCCTGTAGGGAGAGAGAAGGCCCCTGGGAGCCAGAGGGTGCAACAGCCAGGCCCATGCTTGGTTCCACATCAGGAAGTCAAGCTGAGCCTATTGCTCAGCTCAGGAGCAACCCCAACGCTGGCTTCCCCCGTACCTCTCAAGCCCTAAAGCTCAGCAACTGGGTCTGCTCATGCCTCCGGTCTCCGCACACACTGTCACCTCTGCTGACTTCTCTGTCTCAATGTTTTTGTCTGTTGTGGTCCCAGTCTCTTAGCATGTCCTCCAGGGCTGCTCAAGATGGCAAACTCCATCTTGGAAGCAGGTGCTTCTTCAGTCAGAGTAACATCAGCTAGGGCGGTGGGCCAGAGCCAGCCAGGCTGTGCTCCATCAGCTAGGGCGGCAGAGGAGCGAGCATGCGTTCTTGCATACAGGCTTGCAGTCTTCATCCCGCTCAGGCTCCTTTGCTGTGCAGGGGCCCTGGGACTCCCTCCTGGGCCCCATCCATGGCTTCTGTTACATCCCACCATGTCTGCCTGTAACGGGCCTGCCTCCGGGACCCGGAGCCCACTGGAAATCTCTACTAGGTGTGTGGTAAGTAATTCGTTTGGACTTGTGCACACTGAAATTCTGGGTCTCCCTTCCTAGCCCTGGCCGCCTTGGCTGTTGCAACTTGGCTCTTCTAGGTGCTCAGGGTTAAATTTCAGCATGATCTGGGAACTTTTCTCTCTTCCACATCGTCTGTTCCTCACACACATCCTCCCTCTCGGTTCTGTTTCATCATTGGAATCTGATTCCTTGTCATGCTGACCTGGCCCAGGCTCCATCACTACTGCCTGGAGTAGCGTGAGAGCCTCCTTACTAGACCCTCCTGTCCATCCCCGATCCCATCCATTTCACCGTGCTTAGCCTGCGTGTGTGGGTCCTCATGGTTAAGCCCTGCTGTCCAGCCTGCTCCTCGGGCCCTTGAAAAACAGCCGTGGAGACCCTAAGCCTCATCTCTTGTCCCCTTCCAAAAATGCTGGCTTCCTTCTCGTTCCCTGGACACACTGATGGGTCCCAGCTTCTTTTCCACATCTTTACTGTCCCCTCAGTGAGATTGGGGGGGTTTGTTTTTTATGTCCAGAGACTCTCAACTAGGACCCATCAGGATAGGAGGACAGTAAATATTATATCGCATGGAACTGGAGTAGAGAAAATTGAGTGGGAATGGATTGGAGCCAGCTAGTCACACTCTAACAGATAGTCACACTCTAACAGATAGTCACACTCTAACAGATAGTCACACTCTAACAGATAGTCACACTCTAGCCAGCAAGCTGCAGTCAGACCCAGACCACACCTCACCTGACAAGCTGCTCCTAGTTTCTCTGCCTTGGTTTCCATGGATTTCCCCCTTCTCGCTGATACTGGGCTCCTGGAGCACCACTGAAGGGGAGATATTCTATAGGGAAAGGAGAGGCAGAGGCTGGACTTGGAAGTAGAAGATCCAGCTTCTCTCCAGGGCTGCTCTGCATCCACCGAGTGACTTCTCGCCAGCCAACACCAGTGAGGGGCAAGACAAAGTGTCTTTGGTGGCAGCATCTCCTGATCTCCGAGGAGACATGCAGAAGCATCGTGGCTCCCGCACGGTGCAGGAGCGAAAGATGCGAGTGCCTGTCATTCCTCGGGCTCCCGTGCAGAAGGTATTTTCTTGCAGGATCACGCCTCAGACCCTACCATAACCTTTTTCAAGGAACAGGCGCCCACAGATCAATAGCTTGATTGGATGAAGGATGGGTTGGGAGTGGGGGCAATGCAGCCAGGGTGACAGCCATTTTTCACAGCTTGTCTGTTCCTCGGTCATGTCTCATGGAGCCCGTGTGAAATGCCACCTGTTAGGATGAGAAATGGGAGCCCCCACCCCTGAAGAATAAGTCTTGCCGATATCTGACTCCTGGTGTGAGCTGGCAGCTGTCTCAAGCGTATACCAGATAGGGCTGGACTCATGCTGGGAAGATAAAGGGGGCAGGAAGGATGTCCCACCCCACAGCAACAGGTACTCTGGTCTGAACAGTTCCTTTCATGCAAATGTCAACAAGGTCTTCTGTCTTCACAGAACCCCCAAGGGGAGATAAAGGGGGAAAATCTATTTACTGTCCCCATTTTACAGGTGGTAACTGAGACTCAGGTCTATAGCTCCTAAGCAGCCAAGCCAGGGTTTGAACCCAACTCAGCTGTTACCTAACAGTGACCAGTGTCATTTTGTTAAACTCCAATATCTATAAATTAATAATTATACATATATAATTATTATACTAATTTGATAAATATTTTTCTAAAGTAGGGATCATCTGGACTTGATAACTCTGGTAGTTCTGACACCTGGCCAGGCCTGTAGGTTGATGTGGATGACCTTGGGGTGGTTGGAGTTAGTGAGATTTGGTGAGGTTTTTGATAGTGGTGTCTTCTTTCTCTCTTGCCTTCGACATCCTCCTGCATCCCACCACGGTATCCTATACTAGGGAGCAGATTACCTGATACATTTGGGCATCACAGGGTCTGTGCAGTCTTGAATGTACCATCCTGTCCTCCGAATGATAGGGCCCCGACATTTGTGGAGCACGATACTGACTTTGGCTTCAGACATACTGGCACTGAGGTGTCCATGGGACAGGGTCACAGAGTTTGAATCAGAGGTTAGTTGCCAGTACTGAGCCCCAGGCCTGTGGCTGGTGAACAGAGATAACTCTATTTTATCCCAAGGTCTTCTTGTGAAAAAGAATATCAAAAAGCTCGCTCAAATGACCATAGATGCTCCTTCATTGACAGCAAAGTTACAGTCCCATAAAGTCATCCTAAGTCATAAACACCAGATCAGAGTGCATGCCACACACTTAACCTCCCGGCCACGCTAGCTCAACTGTGCTCAGGACCCTGCCTTTGCCTGCAGCTCGGTTGAATCATTCCCCACAAGAGCACTTTATACTCACAGCCTGGGTGTCTAGTGTGGCTCACTGGATACTGCATTGAAAGTGAGACACAGAGTTTGTTTTTCAAACCATCATAAAGTCCAGTTGTCAGGCTGAACTTTACTCAAATAATAATATTTGGGCGTGTGGGGGGTGGGTGTAGGTGTCATTTACCTTGTCTCTTAAGTCAGAATCTCTCACTGGCTTGGAGCTTGACAAGTAGACGATGCTGACTGACCCTGAATCCTGCAGCTCCACCCGCCTCACTTACTTCCTTGGAGCTTCGATTGCAAGCTCACCCAGGCGACATCTGGCTTTTTTATGCGGATTCTGGGTATCGAACTTGAGTCTTCATGCTCGCATAGGAAGCACTGGGTTAGCTGGCCATCTCCCCGTGTCCCCTCTTTTGGAGACAGCCCTTCTATAAGTGACCTTGGACTCCCGGTCCTTCTGCCTCTCAGGTTCTGAGATGACAGGCGTGCCTGCTGTGCCCTGTGATGTTTGGATATTTGGAGTTGAGTAAAATGTAGTGTGGCCTTTGTTGTTGCTGCCGTTAGTTTGTTTTTGAGACAGGGTCTCACTGTGTAACCTTGTGGTCCTGGAACTCTCTTTACAGACCAGGTTGGCCTTGACAGTAGGGATCTGTCTGCTTTGAGCATCAGTACTAAAGGTGTGCCCTGCCTTACCTGCCTGGGTAAATCAAACTGTGAAAGTCACTTTTACCTACTTCTATTTCACTTTATTTTTTCAATATGATGTTTCTCTGTGGATGGATGCTGTACTTTTGGACTCAAATGATCTTCCTGCCTCAAGGTTTTGTTTTTGTTTTTTTGAGTCAAGGTTTCTCTGTAGCTTTGGTGTCTGTCCTGGAACTAGCTCTTGTAGACCAGGCTGGCCTCAAACTCCCAGAGATCTACCTGCCTCTGCCTCCTGAGTGCTGGGATTAAAGGCATGCGCCATTACCGCCTGGCCCTGCCTCAAGTTTTTAAGTAGATAGGGTTCTTCTTGGGATGGATCACAACACTTGACATTTATTTTGTAACATGACTGTGAGAAGATTAAAAGTATGGATCTGGGCATGATGTCGCATCCCTGTAATCTCAGACTCAGGAAACTGAGGTAGGATCAGGAGTTTGAAGCCAGCCTACGCTACTTAGTAGGACTTTCACATGTGTCACATACATGTGTCACATATGTCTATCACACGGAGTGATAGATGTGGCCCTCAGTTAGAGCTGATGGTAGTAGCTGTTAAAACACATAACTGGCTCAGATGCTGAGGGAGGGGCTTTGTTTGCAGAGAGAACCCCAGTCCTCTGCTACATCTCCTCCTGGGTCAGGAGCCGGACCGCCATGTGGAGCTGCCGTCATGCCTAGACCTGAGCAAGGACAGACAGAAGATGAAGCCTGTCCGGGGGGGAGCGGGGATTCAAGCCTATTTGAATATTCCGAAGTGAAGTATGAGCATGAAATTCCATGCCTGAGAAGTTCATTTTGCTGAAGTGTAGACTGAGGCGTGAGGACCAGGCAGGGAGGCCTGGAAAGCAGGCCCTGCTAGTTGCTGAGGAGAGACACAGGACTCGGACCTCAGAAACTGTGCCATTGGTCTGTTTCTTGTCTTAACATGTCCTACGTCATTCTCCAAAACTTCCCAGGGGTTCACCTTCTCCTGGAGGCTCCCAATCTTGGCAATTATCCCTGGCTAACTCCTGATGTGCGTGTATTCTGCACACATCTTTTATCCACCAGCCTGCAGGCCTCAGCATCCTTGAGGGGCATAGGCATGTGCCGCTACCTATGCTGTTACATCTATTTCCTCTCTTCCATGATATTTGGGGCTCCTCGCTGGACACTCCAGAAACATGCAAACACTCTCAGTCAAAGCTCGCTACAGTCATATGTTCTTGGTGTGTCGTTCTTGGAGGGATGAATGACGGCTGTTCAGCAGTAACATCCAAAGGGGCTACAGCTCTCTCTGTTATTCCAACTCCCCAACGGACTCTCTGCTGGAGCTGGTGAAAACCTCTCATTGGTAGTGCTGGCCTTATGCTTAGGGTGCTGATGAATACCAGCTCTGTGAGGACCCCCAGGGCCTGGCTGTCCAGTTCGTCTTTTTCTCATGGTGGCAGGACACACAGAGATCATTCACTACGTAGTGTTGGGTGAATGGATGGAAAGATCTTGGCACATCATTCAAGGCACACAGGATACCGTTCAGCCGGTTCTTGTTAGCTGGACTGTGGAGGAAGCTCTGTACCCCACTCACAGAATGAACTGTTAATATTAGGTCAAGGATTTTCTGGTTTTCAGATAGGGTCTCAGGTAGCCCAGGCTGGCCTTGAACTCACTATGTTGCTGAGGATGACCTTGAACTTTTGATCTCCCTGTCTCTACCTCTCCAGTGCTGGGATTACAGGCTCACATCATGCTGGGCGGGGAGCAAACTTGGGGCTTCCTGTACGCTAGGCAAGCGCTTTACTAAGGCGGCTACATCTCTAGCCCTGCTAAAGGATTTCGAGGATGTGGTAGAGGAAATGAAAGTCTGAGACAGGCTGGGCAGTGGTGGCACACGCCTTTAATCCCAGTACTCGGAAGGCAGAGGCGGGAGGATCTTTATGAGTTCGAGGTCAGCCTGTTCTACAAGAGCTAGTTCCAGAACAGACTCCAAAGCTACAGAGAAACCCTGTCTCACAAACAAACAAACAAACAAACAAACAAACAAAACCAAAACAAAACAAAAAAATTTTTGAGACAAGCCACAGAGCTGGGAACACTCCTCCATTCTCCCTTCACCAGGCTATATCAAAAGAGTCTGAGTTTAATTGTCTGGGTTTCTTTTTCTCCTTTTCTCTGTTTCTGCCCTTTAGATTCACCCAAACCACCAGTTGCTCCCAAACCGAAGGTTACCACCAGTCCTTCTTCGCCAGCAGCCAAGTTTCCACCGTCACCCAGACCTGACAGTTTCCCCAGTCCTAACTTCATGTCCAGGGGCCCCAAACCTCCCATCGCTCCTAAGCCCAGGCTGGCTGGCCCCGGTGAGTGTGGCACTGGTGTGTACCTGAACAACAGCCTCGGCAAATGCAGCAATGGGAGGCTGCCCTGCAAGGACCGGGACCTGTGTGATGGGCACCACTCCAGCCTGAACTGTTCTGAGTTGGAGACTGATGAGGAATACATCATGGTCCCCAGGGCCCCACAGAGAGAGGATGCTCCCATGGATGGGGCTTCTGGGGAGCAGGGGATCGAGGAGGAAGCCCAAGAGCATGGTACAGAGCAGATGGGGACTGAGGGGGACCTGGAAGTCCCAGACGAGGAGGCACCAAGCAGAGACAACGAGGAAGACATGGGCCACACTCCGGAAGGTGAAGAAGACTGTGATCCTGATCCCGAGACCCCAACAGCCCCAGATGAAGGGGTGCTAAGCAGAGATCGTGAGGGAGATGGGGAAGACGGTGACCAGGAGCCAGGAATGGAGGAGCAGCCCATGAGTGAGGAGGAGGAGGCAGAAGAGCACGTGTACAGCCTTGATGATAGGGCCCCCCGGGATGAAGAGATCGTTCTCACACATGTCAGCTCTGAGTCCTCTGAAGTTCCCTGTTGGGAGCCAGGGCCCCCCGAGACTCCTGGGGAAGTAGAAGTGGATAGTAACGATGGATATAACAACACAGAACCTGGGGAGCCCCACCAGGACACTGAACAGGACACAGAGGATGCCAGTGAGCTATCCCCTGAAAATGGGGAGGTGCCCCCAGATATCCAGGAGCAAGAGGTGGCAACTGACAGCCCTGAGGTCTTTGAGGAGGACTGTGAAGATGCTGCAGGAGGCAGGGGCCAGGCAGAGCAGGAGGAACCACCCGCTTGCGATGAGGAAGCCTACAATAGAGAAAATTCAGCAACCACCATGCAGGTAGGGGAGGACTCCGGAGAGGGTGGAGAGCCTGGGCAGGAGGACCCTGCTGAGGAGAACTGCCAGATCATCCCCTTTGAGAGCGTCAGCATGGAGGAGGATTTCTCATCCACACTCACAGAAAGTCCCTACGAACTCTTCCCAACTGAGAGCACCTCCTTCTGCAATGATATCTGTTCCCTTTTGGAGTCAGCCAAGGGGCAGGAGCCAGTGTGCGGAGAGGGGGCTCCTGGTACTGATCCTTCACTTAACAAGCACGAGTCCCTGCAGGATGGAGCTGGAGATGCACCCCCTGTCCCCGATGTGGTGGTTGTACCAGAGAATGAGGATGCCTCAGACGACGCACTCAGCAGTCCCTACGTGATGGGCGCTGGATTGCTGAGCCTCGGAGAGGGAACACAGTCAGACACTCAGGCTACGTCAGGCACTCGAAGTGGGTACAGCACCTGGGAGGAAGGGGACTCTGAGGGTGGCCTGGTCCCAGTGGACAGGAAGAATATTGCCACAAGGGCCCGGCCCCACTCTGGGAAGGTGGCTGGTCACGTTCCAGAAACTGTTCTAGAAGAAATAGGACCAGAAGCCTGTTCATCAGCTGTGGGTACTGGAGACGCCAGTGAGGCATTGAGAAAGATAGGTGTGTTGCCAGAGGGAAAGCCCCCTGAGTCTGGCCGGGCCTTGCCAGCCAAGCCCAGGGCATTCACTCTGTACCCAAGGTCCTTCTCTGTGGAAGGCAGGGAGAGTCCCCTGTCTTTGTTCCGGGAGCCAGAGGGGGCTGGGCTGGACGGCCACCGAGTGAGGAAGAAAGAAGACAGCCTCTCTCTGCCAGGCGCCATTGGCTCCTCTGGCAGCTTCTCACAGCGCAGCCACCTGCCATCCAGTGGCACCTCCACACCATCCTCTGTGGTTGACATCCCGCCCCCTTTCGACCTGGCCTGCATCACGAAGAAACCCATTACTAAGAGCTCCCCTTCACTCCTGATAGATGGCGACACCCATGACAAGGCCTCCAAGAAGAAGAAATCCTCCTTCAAGCGCCTTCTGGAGCTGACGTTCAGGAAGAAGTCGGAGAATAAGGTGCATATGGACATGAACCTGTCGTCTTCCAGGTCCTCCTCTGAGTCCAGCTACCACGGCCCAGCCAGGGTCCTGGAACTTGACCGCAGGAGCCTCAGTAACTCCCCACAGCTCAAGTGTCGCACTGGGAAGCTCCGCGCCTCTGACTCCCCCGCCTCCCTCATCTTCTACAGGGACAGCAAGAGGAAAGGGGTCCCCTTCAGTAGGACGGTGTCCAGGGTGGAGTCCTTCGAAGACCGCTCCCGACCACCCTTCCTGCCCCTGCCGCTCACCAAGCCACGGTCCATTTCATTCCCCAATGCCGACACTTCGGACTATGAGAATATTCCTGCCATGAACTCGGACTATGAGAACATCCAGATCCCGCCTCGCAGGCCGGCGCGGGCCGGCACGTTCACAAAGCTGTTCGAGGAACAGAGTAGAGCCCTGTCTACGGCAAATGAAAACGATGGCTACGTGGACATGAGCAGCTTCAACGCCTTTGAGAGCAAGCAACAGAGTTCAGAGCAGGAGGCCGAAAGGTACGTGAGGGGCAGGTCCTTTCTCAGACTGTGGGCCTGACTGTCTGAGGCAGCTAAGGTGCAGGGTGGGATGGACTTGTTTTGTAGCCTCTGATTCTTCCTAGTTGTGTGACTTGGGTGTGTGACTCTACCTCTCCAAACCACTGTCGGTCACTTCACCTGTGAAAGGGGGTTCATGTTTCTCACACTAGAATATTAGACTACAGTATAAAACTGCTGATTATTAAGAGGACAGTTCTCATGTCTAAGGGAGACTGCTTTCACACACACACACACACACAGAGAGAGAGAGAAACCAAGAAAGAAGGTTCTGGAAGCTTGCCAAACTAAATATCTTTCATCATCAGGAAAATACCCTAATTGATTGATACCTTCTTATTGTGTACACATGGAACTAGAAAAGACAATTTATTTAAACTGTCCAAAGAGCTCACAGTGCCTTGAGCTCAGTTTCTGAATAGAAGTCTTGAAGAGTTACATTTAAGCTGAGGAAAAAAAAAAACCTGGATTGCTTTGAAAGCGGGAGCGGAACACTGTGGAAATCAAACAATAGTGGGGTTTTCTGCCTCCCTTCCCTCCAGCTAAAAGCCCCCCATCCCCCACAGCTTACCTGGACTGGCTGCAGCTTCGACAGGACACTTTGCCCTGTGTGCTTGTACCGCTCGTTGACAGTCCCCAGTACAGGAGCCCCAGGGTTCTTTCTTGTGTGGGGACCAAACCAACCTGCCTGCCTGGTGACTGCAGCCAGGAACATCTGCGGAGCTTCAAGGGAGCTAAAGAGAGACATGGCTGCTGCTGGCCTGGAGTAGACTGCAAAGGTTTCCCAGCTTCCTGCTCAGGAGTCTCCATGTGCTTCCCACATGGGTCCCATGGCCTCCCAGTTCTTCCTGTGACATGGAGGTTTGTTTACAAGAATGACAGCAGACACCAGCCCTGGAGAGGGATAGCATTTAATGTGGAGGGGGAGAGGGGGAGAGACTGGACCTGGATGATTTATTTCATTAATGATGTCACACGGCCCCAGCTAGGTCCAGCCTCTTTCCACCTCTTAGCGCTGGTGAAAACAAGACCATTTGAAGCACAGAATCCTCAGGCGTAACATGCATTTGCCCAGCTAGCTGGTTCTTGACTTTTCCTAGCCGCTGGGAACTCACTACTTCCCAGCATTCCCTTGGACTGTGAATAGTAGGAAGTTCTGTTTTGCTTTGTCTCTTTGTGTAGCCCTGGCTGTCCAGGAACTCACTCTGTAGACCAGGCTGGCCTCGAACTCAGAGATCTGCCTGCCTCTGCCTCCTGGGTGCTGGGATTAAAGGCATGCGCTATTACCGCCTGTTTGCCCCCCCATTTCCCATCCTCACCCTGTTCACACCACCTCTTGGCTTCGCTCGAGGCAGATAAGCTGGCTGGTTTTATCAAAGATTAAGATCCACTTCTGTGGAGTCACAGTTTTATTGTTGAAGGCAGATTTGCTGTGGAAAACCGGAGGTCCGAGAGGAAAAGGGACTTGCCTGAGATCTCACCACAAGTTTGGGGGGGGGGGAGTTTGTGCCGAGACTTCTTGACTCTTGACTTAAGAATTTGCAGTGAATTAAGCTAAGGGAGGCAGAACTCCACAGGTAGTGCCTTCCCCTTTAGTGTGTACAGATGATGCCCCACGGGGTTGAGTGATACACAGGTGCTTGGTGGTTTGCAAAGGCCATTGCCTTCTTCAGTGCTTTCTCCTTCCCCAGATATAAAAGGTTCACAGTAGGGAATAAAATGCCTGAGAAAATGCTAATGGTGCCGGGTCTGGACTCTCCTCTGTGTGCCAGGCGGTGTGCTGGCTGCTTTACTTGTTGGCTTACACCTGAGGCTGCAGCCAGGGCCTGGCCGGAAGGATCCTGACCTATCTATTCTGAAGTGCAGCGGCATCCCAGCCCCTCTGATGCTGCTGTTCCTCCAAGGGCCTGTCTGGGTGACTCCAAATGTCTGTCATTCAGAAAGCTCAGTTCTCTTCATTTCCTGTTGGGAGACAGATGAAAACAGAGAAGAAAATCCCTGCTCCGGGCACAGCAGGCCTGGGCAAGTGAGAGGCCCAGGATGGTGTGGGGCTTCCCCTGCATAGGCGTTGTGAGTGAGGCAGAGGGCACACGGAACACAGGGGCAATGGGGTGCCTGGGGTTGGAGAGCGGATGAGGCCGGTGGAGAAGAGGCATTGCCTCCTGCCTCGTCTAGAGTGGGGGTCTGAAAACTGAGAGCTCTGAAAGGAGACAGGACAGAGCCTCTGGAGAAACAGCCTGACCAAGGTCCTGGACAGAGCTTAGGAAATGGCTATGGGCCCGGCGTCTGTCCAAGTCAGTTCATCTTCACCTCAAAAAGGGGTAAAGGAAACTTGGTGTGACTGGGGGTTGTGGCAGGTGGGGGTGAAGTAAGTGGACCCGTTCTTATGAACAGAAAATACTAGTAAAAATTAGATTTTAGAAAGTATATTAACTTCGGAGCAATCTGGCTTGAGATTGTTACTTGTCAGGCTATGAACCTCAGGCCTGGTATATGAATCAGGTAGAGGCTGGCTCTGGCCACTCAGAGTCAACTTACCCAGAGGAGTCGGAGTACTTAAAAGGCACAGAGACCTGTCCCCCAGAACAAGACTACTTTCCACTGAAAGTGTGTCCATCCAAGAAACGGGGCTCACCTGGGCGCTTATAGGTCATGGCTTCAGACCTGAAGCTGGCACAGCCTGGGCTGGGGGAGGTGGGGAGAGTTCCTCTTTGCAGTTGCTTCCTTCTGGTTCCCCAGCACAGAGACAGCGTTTGAGCGGGGAAGTAATAAGCCCCCTGTTATTTCACCAAGTGCAAGTGGGAGTTTGTAACGGAGTTTGCCAGCTCTTAATTTGAAATGTATCCCCTATGGATACATATTTTTTTTCCTGAACAGATTCTCTTTCAAGCAGGATGCTATGTGGTCTCAGCAGTCAGGAGTCTCTGTTGGGGTCTTGCATGCTTCCCACAGGATCTATGGTTCACTGATCCAGTTCTCAGGCTGGGAACTGAGCTGGGTTTCACTGGTGGCGTGGTACTTTTGAGCCGGGAAAAGAACTCTCCTTTGTTAAGTGACCAGTCTGAGATTACAGTCCCGGGTGCTTCCCATGTCATTAGAGGCCGATGTGACCTAGCATGCAGCACGGGACCCTGTGCTAAACACCCCATTTCAACCTGCCTGGTCTTCCTGCTTCTTGTATGTTGATGAGCTGGCTTCCGTCAGCCTTGTGCCTCAGAACAGGTTGTCCCTTGGTGTCATTTGTCCTCAAGGTTTACTGTGGAAATACTCAAGTCACTAAAAAGCTCCAGGTTTGATGGCGACTTGTCCTTGCTCCCACTCCCTAAGTCCTGCTCCACCCTTGCTGCAGGGCTGACCGTCTCTTCTCCCTCTGCCCATGTGTCACACAATGTTCTGCTCTGGGGACATTGACCTGTCCCCAGATACCCGGGAGGTGCTGCTGGGCATGTAGACGTCTCAGCCATGCCATCCTGTGTCTGCGGCCCTCCTGATGCTTGCCAGCCTCGTGACAACAAGTCTGAATCACGGCCAAGTGATTCGTAAGCATTTGCTGTTAAGTGGTAGGGGACCAAGGTCAAGTCTTATGGATACAGGATTTGAACTTGGTTCCAGAGATGCTGCTTCTGGGAGGAAGGATCAGGGTCCTTCACCATGGGTGTGCCTCTCTCTCTCTCTATTTCTCTCTATTTCTATTTCTCTCTCTCTCTCCTTTTCCGCCTTTGTGTGCCTTGGTCCTCAGGTCTCCATTGCAAGGTCTTAGATTGGGGAACTCTGGCCATGAATTATAGTGTTATCTGCTCTAGTGCTCCCAGGAAGACCCAGGGCTGCAGATAACAGGCTGACGGTACTAATCTAGAGCCCTGGGCAGCACTGCCTCTGACACCAATGCCAAGAACAGAGGTCATGATTCCTTAACTGCACTGGAGCCAGTGCCTGTTACCATGGTGATGGCTAGAGCTGGCTGTATCTATAGCATGCAATCCCCAGTTCCCAATTTCTTATGGGAAGGCTGAGACTTGCTAAACTAATGCTGAATATCCTCTGTCACACAGAGGGTAAATGGCCAAACTCAGGCCTGCCTGAGTCTCCATTATGGGAAGTTTCTACTGCCATTTATTTTTCGTAGTGAAAAGGCCACACTCTGGTGTTGCTGAGACCCTGATTCTTGCTGAGGAGCTCCCTGCAGGAAAGAGGGTGCTCCTCCCTCCCCATTCCCAGTGCTCCTAGCTTGGTGGCCTAGAGGACTCCAGGGGATGCAGAATAGGGATGCGCTTCTCTGTATGATGGCCCGTGGGATTGCAGTGCCTCTGCACCTTATCTATAGACACTGGTGATGTGCTAACAGTGTGCCCAGACATCCTTCCTTGCTCCAGACCATAGTGGAGACCCCTGGTCTCTGGAGGCCACCTCTGCCTGAGAGAAAACCAGGAGCCCTGGGTTTAGGGCCTGCCACCTGTAGAGGATCTTCCTGATCTCTGAGGGAATTTTAGGAGCAGAGTCTGTGTGCTTGTGCCTGCAAAGAGAGTCTTGGGCGTTCTGAGGGACAAGGCTAATTCACTCTGACTCCCCTGTCACAGAGAGCTTCATTCATACTCTGGTGGCAGGCAGAACCTTGCTGTGCTCCGTGTGGATGGGAAGGCTTGGGACAACCAGGGAGAGGCTGCCTTGACTACTAGCTGGTGTTGCCCACGTGAGAAGTTCTATACTGGATCCCATGCTAAGCAATGTGCAGGAAACGGATGGACCAGGGAAGGAGGACCTTGAAGGACAGTGCAGAACAGTGAGATTTCCACCTATGGACAGAGGAGAGGGGCAAGGACAATCGGGAAACATGAGACTAACCAGGTGGTGGTGGGGGAGGCACACACCTTTAATCCCAGTTCATGGGGGTAGAGGCAGGAGGATCTCTGTGAGTTCGAGGCCAGCCTGGTCTACAAAGTGAGTTTCAGAACAGCCATGAC